TTGAAAGCTCAGTAACCTGTTAATGATCCATTAATTTCAATACATTCAACCTGGAGAGCTCTATTAATTAAAAGCTGTTATTGAGATAAACTATTTTGTTATTAGATATGCAAATACAGTGTAAGGTTTTGCTTAGAAAAGGCCCTTGCTGTGAAACTATGACTTGGAAAGGCTCATGGGTGCCACCTGCTGTCTAAATTTAAAATTACTTCCCAAATCTAATGCGTGTCCTAGCGAGAATGCCTTGCTGTAACATGACTATTTCAGCCCTGCTACAATTTGAAGCCAAATAAGCACTTTCACTTAAAAACAAACAAACCAAACCCTACCAGCAGCAGTTAAGATTTCATCCACTGTTAAAAACAGGCAGGAGCAGGATGTATACCAGAAGACAAACATAATGTCAGGTTTCTCAGACTCCTTCACAGCATACATAACATATTAATCCAGAAAGATTTAATAGGAAACAGCTCGTTTTCAAAACCATACAACATTCCTGCAGTGACCACAGCAGTGCTGACTTAGAAAAGTGTGTGTGTTTGTGTTTTAATGTAACTAGCAAGCTGGAACAGAGAAGGTACTCCATACCATGTGACTAGGCAGGACGTCACATCTACAATATATTTTAGAAAGTTGTGTGTTCTCTGTAGCTCAGTTGGTGTTAGAGCATAGTGCTGATAATGTCAAGGTTGCAAGTTTGATCCCCGTATGGGAAAGCTGCATATTCCTACACTGCAGGGGGTTGGATCATTTGGTCTACAATTCTATGAATTTTTATGTCAGGTGTGCAAAACTACAAGCTCCTGCTCCAGTTTAAGCCTAAAACCAAGAATAATCCAAGAAAACATTAATCACATACTGGTCTTGCCCAACTAGGACCATTTATTAAAATTCAATTTCCGTGTAAGTTTCACACCTTGTGGTAGAAGATGGAATTAAAATTCTATGCCATGTAGCTACTCAGTCCTTAGTGGCTGCAGTCCAATAGAAAGACCATCATTTGTCATCACCATCAGACTATGGCATAAGTGAGAAGTATTTCTTCACCACTCACTTCCCAGAGTGTCACTAGTTGTAGTGCCAGGGGGAGTTTAAATGGCCTCCTGGTTAATGGTTTGGAGATTCCTTGTGCTCTTAACTGGTCCCTGTAGCAAGCTCTTCACTATTAATATACTGAGAGTAAAACTGAAGATTTAAAAGAAGTGGGACAGTTTGCTGCAGCATCCGGGTTACTAAATGCAACATATCTGATTTCAAGACACCACATTTGATTGGATATATACTATTTATATTAGATGGTCTTAACACCAAAATGGACTGTTGAATTCCCTCCTGCTTATGGACCAGCATAGCTGCCTTTGAAAACCATAAAAAGCAAAGGCACTGTGGATTAAAAATAAATAAATAATGCAATAAAATTTGTGTTCTGGTTTCAACGTATTTCCATGCATCACATTTTAAGTACAAATGAGCTTGTCCTCCCAAGGCAAAATGAACTTCACATTAGCCTTGTTGGTGAGCATTTTATGCAGCAATATAATATACAATGGATAGTAGTTCTTAACTATTATAACCCCCAAGTCTTTTTGGGAGATGAGCACCAATTTACGAGGGCTGCAAAGCCAAATTGTTCTTTCAACCCATCCAACAGGTGACCATACAAAGGTAGTAAGAGTGATATGCATTTTTATATCTAATCAGCACTAGCTTAAAATGCAGGGATGTCATAATTGGGATCAGCTGGTTCAGTGATTTTAGCAGCAGCCCCCCCCTTCCATTCATTGACGAAACTTGGATTCCTTTAAAATTGTGTGCCTGACACTATACATTCATAAATGTTGCTTATGGTATCCTAATGCTCTATTTTCCCCTCAGCTTCTTAAGACTGATAACCTACACATATGCACCCCTCTTCACAGATAAGGTTAAAGGGGGGAAAGTCACAAAATGACTTCTGCTCGCTACTGTACAATAAGCAATGCTATTTAAGAGAAAAGTTAGTTATTTAAAGACCAAGTTTTTCTTACAGTTAATAATTTTAAAAGCAGCAAAATGTAAAGTTTCACTTAAGAGTGATAAGAAGAATGGTATTTCCTTCTTTCCGTAGCTCTAGTGTGGTGCTTTTAGAAGCACTTTTTGTTTATTTTATATCACTCAAGGGTTGCTAGACTGGTTTTAAATCATGGAACATTCATGCCTATTAACTGTTTTTCTCTACATAAGGCAAGAGCTTCCCTCCGCAGAAAAGATTATGACCTTATGTTCTGAGCATCTCATTTATCAGCAGGCATACTGCCCAGCATAACATTCCCACATCACACAGCAGTGTGTGTGAGACTTCTTGTCCACTTCCGCTCCACTGGAATACTGTAATCCCTTTAGCTGGTATAACAACAACAACAACAACAACAACAACAAACCTAACATCTCTTCCCTGTGTGGGGAATTATGGTTCAATTTGCTTAAGAAATGAGCAGTTACTCTGCTCTGGAATGCATTGCTGTGCATAATGCACAGGTGCAATCCAGCTGGTTTAATTTCTTTGGAAAATGCAGGTAAGATTCCCCACCATGAGATTTTCAGTCTTCTTAACGTACACAGTGAAACTAGATAATGTGCTCTGTTTTTTTCTGAAAATGTCAGTTTTTGCTCCATCACCCACATTCTGCAACTGGAATAAATTGTGGAAATTTGTGTGATTGGGGAAAGTCAACGAATGGGTCCCTTCCAACTCTATAATTCTACAATTCTTTGAAGTGGGTGACACAAGGGTGAAGCAGCAGGAGAATATGGACAATGGGACCTCAGACAAGAGCAAACTGAATGCAACTCACTCCAAAGTAAATCCGCATAGGAATTGGTTATTGGGCTGGTCACTTGTTATCTCCCATTCCCACAGATGCACGTTCTACAAGAGGAATATCAAACACTTTTTCAATCTAAGAGATTAGAATGTTACTTCCTTTTTAAATGTGAAAGGGCAAATAAACATTCAGATGTAGTTTAAAATATGCTCCAGGAGAGAGTGGACACTTTTATGCCCAAATTCCAAACCTAGAAGTCATCAAAACAGGAAAAGGGCACTTTATTCATTCTGATAAAATCCCTTCAGCACAACCAACACAAATCTATAACTATAAGCCGTTCTGTGGTTATCAAGCTGAGTTGCCATATTTTGAAGAGCAAAAAAGAGGACACATTTGCAGACTTCTACTTTTAACTATGGATCACTATGATGACTCTAATTTTACATACCTATAAAAAAGAGGATGTGTCCTGGAAAAAGAGAGGACATATGGCAACCCTAAAAAGGTATCATTCCCCCGCCCCAAAAAGTTTTCTTTGAGAATATCAGACACATATTACACATGGGAGCACACAGTACTTATGTAAGAAGCAGTTTACAACTCTTTATGCTGCTTTCAGAGTTGGTGGTTGGGGTGTTGCATGTTAATGGTGGGTATAAGTATAAATAAAAGCATACTGGATTAACTAATCCAGAATCAAGACTGGGCTGTTTCAATATTCACCACAGGTGTGTCAGATTAGAACTCCCAATAGTGGGAAGTCTACTCAGAAGTAACCCCTACTGCATTTGGTGTACACCAAGGGTTGTACCCTGCAAGGCCGACTTGAGAGGGCTGAAAACTACGGAGGCACACAGTCACAAAATGGTGGTGCAGGGGCAGAGCCAGTCGCAAACCAGCATCAGCTGCTTCACATTGCTTTCTACTGATAAATCTATTTTTCGAAATTGCTGACTTGCCATAGCCTTTTTCCTGCAGCAAGGAGTTCCACACCTCAACTTTCAAGTGAAGTACAGGCAGAATTTGCTTAAAGGGGTTTTCCATTCCAAACTCTAAATGCCTCTCAAAGTATTTTTACCCATCTCCTGAAATTTCTTCCATTCTCCTTCCACATTCAACTTGTACTATACTTCTCTACTCTGATCCCCAGCAAAAAAAACCTTACCAGTTTTATGCATCTCTCCTTCCTGGTCCTTTAATATTCAATTATTCCGATAACTGCTTTCCTCGCTTACCTTTCTTTTTTTCTCTGTTTATACATAACAACAAATAATATTAGTCTTTTATCTTATTTCTTTCAACTCCTCCTGGTCCTTTCCCCTCAGAGAAAGGAGACCTACCTATCTATCTTCTGTCCTCCTTGCTTTTCCATGTCCTTTGTGACTTGAGCACACGTTTGTGTGTGTGTGTGTGTGTGTGTGTGTGCGCGCACACACACACACACACACACACACACACACAGCAGAAACCCACAAAGGGGGCTGTGAAGGGGGGCTTCTTTTCCCCAGGTTGTACAAGCAGGAAAAATAAAATATTCAGTTATTCTAAAATTATATAAGAAAATAGGAAAACTAACATTTAAAAGCCAAGAAAAATAAGGAGGAAACAAACAGGAAGAAAGGAATCTTATATGGTATTGAAGAGTGACGTTACCTCAGGAAATGTTGCAGGTGCATAAAACAAGGACGGGGCAACATTCAATTTCTAGGTTTCCCATAGGTTAAGACAGATTATGAAACACAATTCTTCCTTCAACCCATTTTGCCTCAAGTCCTGTTTACATCTTGCCATTATTTTAATGTGCAGCCAAAACCATGGAGTTAACATCTCAGCTATGTTCATTACTGCTTGAACTCCAGAACAGTAAATGCACTCCATCATGGGATAAACTGACTGCATGTTCCGCAATCAGCGTCCTCAAACAAACAAGTGACATTTCTCTGATGATTCAGCACTTCTTTCATAGTCCAGTATCTAAACACCACAAGCTTATTTCCAGCAGGGAACTAAATCAAAATCTGAACTTAACATTAAAACATGTGCTGGGATAGAGGAGCAGTTGCTAGTGTAGCTAAATGAATTTATATCAAGCCTCTGGTATGTTCAGCTACAAAATATTCTAGTGAGTTAAGCAACATTCTAAGATCATGCATTCTTACCATGGCACAACACATAAAAAAACTGGTTTCCATGTAGTTTCTCCATGCAGACAGGTTTATGTAAAATATATAAACATTTTTCAATTTTGTTACAGATTGCATAAATATGGCATTTTTACTGTTGCATTTACAGCTGTGCAAACACAATTTGATTACAATCTCTGAAAAGTACTTTGCATCCCAGTGAAGCAATAAAAAAATGACCACAAAGAATTTAAATACCAAATTCACGTTTAAAATGTCTTCTCAGTAAAATCCACACATTTAAAATAGTTTTATTCATTTTATTTGTATATGTCAAAATACATTTTTTTTTGCAAAATAGTGGGTTTTGCAAGTAGTTTCATGCAGATGCAAGGTCTGCTCAATACTACCAATAAAATCAACGTAACACAGTAGCCATTCAGTTTTTAAAGAATAAATAACCTATATATAAAACACTAAAATATTAGATACACATTTAATCATTCACAGGCATCCAAAACTTGACCAAATATAATCCACAGTATGCCTAACAATTCAACAGCACTATGCAGCGTGTTGCAGCCATTCAGATGGATATTTTCTCTCCTTGGTTTGTATTAGCTTAAGACCATGAAATATGTCCACCTTCAAACTTATGACTCATACAGACCTACTGTAACAAGATATCCCAGAACTATCCTTGTACCTTTAAAATCAAGAATCCTGAGCTTGGTAGTAAGAGCAAAACCTTACATCTTCAAAAAACCTCCCTCCCCCCTCCCCAAATCACCCAACCCTATGAAGGGGACTCACGTCCTCCTTGCCCCAAACAAGTTGTTCTCTTTTGCCCACCCCAAAATGAAGTGAGTCCCATCCCCAAGAAGTAGGAAGTAGAACACAATGACCTTTTAAAATGAAGGGGTACAAATTCACATTTAATATAGTATACAATATAATCAATAATACAATAGCTACTACAAGCTTTACAATATACAATTTATTTTAATGGCTGAGCTGTTCAGTGGTTTTTAGGCAATAGTCTGTAGGCCAGAAGATGGTTATATTTAGTAGGTTTTAGTGAAAATATAAAAGCTGTTTGTTTTCTAACAAAAGCTATCTTCACCGGAGTACTTTTTAAAAGGCCACTGAAATGTATAAAATGGTCTGAACGTGGTGGTATCAACTTAGATGCCTCTTCACATGGCATTAGCAGTGCACGTAAATGAATAGGTTAGGGCTTTCAAATGACTTAAAGATTACTTTGGCTAGCACAACAGTTTCAGACAGCACTCAAACACAGATATGTGAAATGTAGTGAAGAAGTTATACTTAAGTTTTATTATGGGTGATCACTCAAATAAAAAATGGAAGGGGATAAAATATTGTTTTTAGTTTCAATTTTTTGTAAAGACTGACTCCATACAAAGTAGAATTTCTAAATTTAAACCAAATGGACTTTGTTAAACACTACTGTGGAGCAGCCTATTTTGTTTTAACACACAATTGCAATAGGGAAATATATTCAAGCATGTCAAGTGGTGGTCTGAAAACTCCAAACAATATACATTAATATATACAGCATCACTTAGTACCTGCTAAAATGAATGTGATGGTTACAGGATCTAACAACTTGCACTACAAACCTTTTTCTTTTCTTTTAAAAAGTGACCAATAAAGGCAGAAGACAGGAGTTTTAAAATAACCAATCTACTTGCAACTGACTTTTAAAGCATCTTTTATAGGAAATAATGCATATTGCACAACAGTGAAAGCAAAGGTTCCACAAAACCTCTCTGTTTTGGGCTGGCTGGCTGGACAATACAGGCTTAGTTAGCTACATGTTGCATTTTTAAAGGGGTGTGTAAATGTAAAGCTGTGAAAATACTGTACAACGAAAAAATCTGGTATATGAATAATTAGAAGGAAACACACACAAATCCAAACTTAAGATGTAAGAGAGAAAAACTGCAGGATAGGAAAAAAAAACCAGGAACCGTGACACAACAAAATAAAAGTAACTGTCTGTGGTAGCAGAAAGCTTTTTTTGATGCATGTGTTTATGTACAACTAAGGCTTACTGGTTAAATATCTGAGGCTTATCTGGCCTTGAACACTTTCCTTATATGCAGTAGCTGTAAACAAGATTTCTCAGTCATTATGTCTTCTCAGCAGCTGCTTTAACACATGAAACAATGATCTTGGTTAAAAAAAACACACACCCAGGTAAGAGGGCATTTGGCAGAATATCTGAAAATGACAGTCTCCAAGAAATCTTCCCAGACTTCCAGTGACTTCCATGCTATGGTCCACTGGAGATACTAATTATGTGCAATCCCATGATTTGCAGCTGGAGTAAACAATTTTATTTGGAAAGCTTGCTGATAACTCTGATCAAGGCCCCATTTTCATCTTTTAGCCTCTGGTTATCGGCCTTCAGGTCTGGTAGCATCTGTCAGAGAAAAACAGAGAGTAAAGTGTACAACGCTTGACAAATAACAATATATTAAATACAAAGTCTCTTCAAAAACAAATAGTCCTCCCTTTCCTGCAAACGCCAAATGGTTTGTTTATTTAATACCATTTATAAACCAATTGATATTAAAATATTGCTAAGCAGGCTGGTGACATGAATATGTGGCTAACTGTTTAGAACTCAAAGTCCATCTGCAGGAGCAACTTACTATTTTATAATCACTGAGAAGTGAAATATAAAACAAACCAAACCAGATTTAGTCAAGTCAAGCTGACTCAAAACACATAGTAAGCCACTCACATGGGGTAATGGAAGAAAAGGGTTTTTCATAGGTGCTCCTCTAGGTAAAATAAGCATGCATATATTTACTTAATTTGTAATTAGCTTTTTGTGGGGTACAGTTCACACAGCCCTGGGTGTGCATTAACTGAAGCAGGATTCACCAGACCTGGGCACTGGAACACATTTTGGATGTCCTGCCTCAGGTTTCAGAGTTGTAACAAAGAAAAGTGATTCAGAGAATATGCAGAGAGCATTCTTCACAACTACACCCTTGTCTCCAAACATCTGGGAGTAAGGGTGGGAGAGTGTCGAGAGAAGTGACAGTTATATCACAGGACTTCACTTCCAGACAGGCTTGAGCTCTGTATTTTAGAAACTGACATGTCCACTATTTCAAAATCCAGCATAAACACAAAATTGTGTGTTTTATTTTTGTTTTTTTAAAGAAGATAAGACAAGTAAAATAAGGAAAGTTAGTTATCAGATATGCCTATATGTGGCATTTGTGCAAACCTGGCAATATTATTGTAATAAATAGGTATTAAATGCTCACTTAACTGACAATTTTCTGAGCCTCATAATGCCTTTTATTTCTATTCCCATTATATAGGCCACTGCTTTGTTCCAAGTGATATGATAATGCTCTTACCACACCTGCTATAAGTTTATGAAGTTTCAATATGCATCTAGTCAGCAGATAAATTATCATCCAAGTTTTTAAAAAGTCATCCTTTTAGAACATTTTACTGCCACTCCACTCGGGAGCTGAAAAACTTGTCTTTTAAATTTCCCCTTAGAAACCAGAAAAAATAGGCTCAACATCTTCCTGTGGAACCCACTATATTACTTTGAAAAATACTGGTATGTTGGATTTAAAATGGGACAAGAGGCACTTGGAACGGCACAATACAGTGGTGCCTCGCACGACAAAATTAATCCGTTCTGCGAGTCTCTTCGGCTTGCGGTTTTTTCGTCTTGCGAAGCACGGCTATTAACGGCTTAGCGGCTTTAAGAAAAAGGAAACAAACTCGCAAGAACTCGCAAGACGTTTCGTCTTGCGAAGCAAGCCCATAGGGAAATTCGTCTTGCGGAACGACTCAAAAAACGGAAAACCCTTTCGTCTAGCGAGGCATTCGTCTTGCGGGGCACCACTGTACTATTTCTGCTCTTACTAAACTCTTGAAGGTAAGGGAAAGCTTCAATAACAAGTCCAATTCCTAATGAGGTGGGTACAAGTATAAGAGTGAAGAACAAAGAGAGCCAGGGTTTTGAGTGTGGAGAAAGAATATAAGAGCTTAAATACTATTTTCTTCTTTTTTGCACCCTAGTTCTCCCCCAATATTTTTTACAGAACTAGAAAGGGCACAACATGGGGAGCGGATGGATGAGAATGACTGGCACTGATGTGATGCCACAAGATTAACTGTTAAGAGTCCAGGGCACGAACAAGCATCTGGTCAGAAAAACACACACACCCAAAGATGGAAAATTGCCTTTGCTTAACCCAAGGACTTTCGACAAGTGCCCTCAGAAACTGGAAGCCTGACAATCAGACCCACCATCTCTAACAACAAAAGAGATGTTGTTGAACTACAAAGACACTGTGTGGCTAATGGTCAGGGACGATGGGGGGCTGTAGCCCAACAACACCTGAGAAAAGTTGGCTTAGAGGCTTCTTCCTTTTGCCTATAACTGTTAGGAAGTAGAAGAGGATGAATGTAAACCCAGACAAGATGGAGGTACTATAGGCAGGCAATATTGGTACTCAGGTTCACCAGCAGCATGGTGTTCCTGAAGAAATCAAGCATGGTCCAAGACATTGATGCCAATGGCTGCAATCCTAACCCTCACTTATCTGGGAGCAAACCCCACTGAATTAAATAGGACTTACATCCAGATTGGTTTACTGTAATATACTTTATGTGGGGCTACCCATAGAAGCTTCAATTGGCTCAGGATGCTGAGGGCAGACATTTGTTTGGGCCTGGCAGGACAGACCACATCAGGTCAGTTTTCTCAATGTCATTGGCTTCCAGGCAAAATTGACAGTGATCACTGTGACATTTAAAACATGAATAGCCTAGCCTGGGCAGGGCCAGCTCAGGAATTGTCTCCTCACATGAATTCTGCACTCCCTTTCTGAGTCCTTATTGCATTTCTATTGGCAAATAAACAAGAAAGGGGATGTTTTCAGCTGTGGTACCCTGACTATGCAACAATTTCCCAAAAGAAATTGAACTGGCACCACCTTAACCTGCTATTAAATGGGTTCTTGTTTACACCTAATACATTTTCAATTTGGCTGTTGAATGATTTTCATGATGCTTTTTAAAGCTCATTGTTATTCTTAGGGTGGTTCTGGATTTTGTTGTTTGTTTCTTATTTGTAAATGCCATAAGTTTGAGATTTTTTTGTATTGAAAGGAGGATATAAATGGCAAAATAAATAAACAAAGGAAAAAGAGTTCTTGCGAGTTGCTCAAATAAGCAAGGTTACACCATGCATAGTATCAAAATACTTTGTATTAAAATGCTTTGTATTATTTTTTTTTTGCAAAGCACCAAATGCCAAGAGTTAATAAAAATATTCTTTGAAAAATCAAAACTGCATTTAAAATAAATTATTATACATGTGTGATCTGTTTGGATTGGGTCTTGATATGTATATGATCATATTCTAGAATGCATGAGGTATCTCTAATAAAGGTACATTCACAATAGTCATTTTGACACCCGCTTAAAGTATCTTTCTTTAGGCAAGCCTATTCAGACATGTAGAAATTACATGTGTTTTATATCTTTTTAGCTACTGTTGATTGCAAAGGTAAATTTTCAGTTTCACAGTAATGAGACTTAACTTTCAGCTATAAAAGCTCATGCCTCCTCTATGGCATTGGCATGGCACATGTTAATCACTTAGGGGAAAATCTAGGCCCATATAAAAAAATTAATTCTGCTGTATTTATGAGCTGCCTCAAACAGTTAATGCAAAATATTGCAACTGATCATTTCTTCTGTTGTATTATTATTTCATCTGACACATTGCTTTCCAACCACTCACTAGAACTTGGTACAGATGGTTTTATTCAATTAAGTTTTACTCTGAGCAAACCCATTAAAATTAATGGAACTAAATTAGTCATGCTCATCAACTTCAATGAGTCTACTCTGATGGACCCCGAGTATATAACAATGTTAATAATTTTTTTTAAAAAAAAGTTTAATATGACAATTTGGGAAAGATAACACAACCCTGTGACATTTTCCACTTTAAGTAGTATGCTGGTATCAGAGGTTTCCAATTAGCACAGATGAGTCTTATGTTTTTCAGTACAGTGGTGCCTCGCAAGACGAAATTAATTTGTTCCGCGAGTTTTTTCGTCTTGCGATTTTTTCGTCTTGCAAAGCACGGTTCCGAAAAAGTTTTGGAAAAGCTTCAAAAATCACCAAAGTCTTCAAAAACCTCAAAAAAGGCTACCACACCGCGTGCTATGAGTTGCTCCTTGAAGTCAAGTCGCAACTGTATTAACGGTTTTAAGAAAAAGGAAACAAACTTGCAAGACGTTTCCGTCTTGCGAAGCAAGCCCATAGGGAAAATCGTCTTGCGAAGCAACTCAAAAAACTAAAAACCCTTTCGTCTTGCGAGTTTTCCGTCTTGCGAGGCATTCGTCTTGCGAGGTACCACTGTAAGTTTATATTCAGATGTAGTACTTAGCTTCCAGTGAAGTGTCAATTCAACTATTCAGATTAGGGTTTAGTTTTTCAGCTCCTCAATATTCTTATACATATCCAAGGAACGGAGCATCTCTGAACTGTGGTAGGTAGTAAGGCCCGCAGATTAACATCAAAGTAATCTGCCAACACGGATGCATTCACCATATACATATGCCATGCTAAACCACAGCACAGCGTGATAAATGAATGTATCGCAATAAGCCTCACGCTCAAGCATTCCATCCCTATCCTCTCCTCCTCCCGTGTGACTGGGAGGAAGTGTTTGGAAGCTTTTTGCTTCACTACAGTTGGCCATGTCATATGCCCTGATAAACTGTGGTTAATAGCAACTACAGCTAGTTTCAAACAAGCCAGCTTCAAACCATAGTTTCTAAAGCTGGTTTATCTAACACTTGCCATAGTTAGGATTAATCAGTTCTTGGTCCAGACAACACGGAACATGGAAAGCTGTGGCTATTCAAAAGAGGAAGTGAAAGTTTCTGAACTCCTTTGCAACTAAACAACAACATCAATATATCTGTTAGTATTTACTAGGGTAAAATTGGAATACTGGAAACTGTGTATTTAAGCTGAACTTATAGTCAAGCAATAAGCCAGTCTTCAGACACACAAGCATTAATAGTGAGAGATGCAGGCCATAACACTCACTGAAAGTCAACACCTGCCCAGCTACAGAAAAAAGAAAAGGGGAAATTACAAGTCCACAGAATGTCGATGCCTGCAGGCACCTGACAGCTTGGTAACCACTCTGGTCAAGGCCCTATTTTCAGTCAGCAGTCGCTCATTTAAATGCCTCAAAGCCTGAACATGCTTTACTTGAAATGTATTCTGCAGGAATCAAAGAAACAGGAGCCAATGAGAGAAATGCAATTGTGGCATATTGAAAAGGTATCACAGGTGAAGACAACTAAAAGAAAAAAGAAAGAGATGTAAAGATAATCCTTTCTTTAGCAGCAGATTGTTCTGTGTGAAACTAAGAAACTACCTAACTATATATAGGGAATCAGTGACTGTGCAAAGGCTGGTGCCAAATGTGTTGCTCTGCTTTCTTTTAGCCCACATTAGTGGGCTGAGAGTGGGGAGTTGTCGTCTGGGCAGCCCAGGACCTCCATACACACAGCCCAGGCTTGTGCCCTGGAGAAGTCACTTTGGTGCAGCAAAAACAATGCAGGAAGCGCTGTGATTTGACTTCACCCCTGGAGGTGCTGCTGGTAGCCTTTCAAGCATTAAACATTCTGGGCCCAAATCCCTGTGTCCCTATATGACTACAGTGGAACCTCTGTTTCGAGTGTCTCAAAAGCCAAAAGTTTTGGTTTTCTAATGCCAAAACTGGAAGTAATTGGTTCTGTTTTCAAATGTGCCCCGGAAGTCAAACTGCTTCTGCTGCATGTTTTCAAATTTTCTCAATGGATTTTGCCGACCACTCATTGCGCCTCAGTTTTCAAACGTTTTGGAAGTTGAATGGTCTTCCGGAATGGATTACATTCAAAAACTGAGGTTCCACTGTACTAAGATCAGCAGACGACTGAGGATTTTTTTAAAAAAGGCAGGAAACAAGAGAGAGCTCATAGAATCCTTTTTGAAATTATAGCTATATTGGTATCTGGACATCTATATGCTATAATTGCTGATGGGTGCCATTTCAAGGCTGCTGAAATGACGCAGAAACTAAGAGAACTATCTGTTTTCTCAGTCTTGTTCTTCCCTGTCCAGGAGTGGGGAGGGAAGGAGAGCCTATCTGCCTTGTTAAACTGAGGCTTCCTTTTTTATTAAGCCAATCAGCGTCTTTCCAATGGGGGGGGGGGGTAGAAAGAAAGTCATATTGTGCCTCAGGAATCAATCATGCCCACCTCTAATTTGCATGTACGTGTGTAAGTGTGTGTGTGTGTGTGTGTGTGTGTGTGTGAGAGAGAGAGAGAGAGAGAGAGAGAGAGAGAGGAGAGAGAGAGAGAGGGAGAGAGAGAGACAGCTTATTTCTTCATTAGGTCCCTGTGAATTAAAGGTTGGATAAGAGAGAAAAGAATCAAGTGATAGGTTTAGAAATTTTTGTGACCTTAACTTCACTCTGACTGTAGCCTAAAGTAAATACTACCCTTGATGCGAAGACTGTCTGATAGCAGAGGAACCTGTATTTTCCCAAATCACACACACACACACTTGGGAAAAGTATAGCCATATTCAACCAATATAGGCTTTTGTTTTTTAATAGAACCATATGTCTCAATAGTATCTGAACCAACTCAGACAATCTCAGGTAAAAGTCCTCTACTACTGTAAACAAAACTGTATGGCACAATATTCCATCCTTTACAAAAGCTGCATTCTATTAGACAGCTTTGGCATGAGCTGTGATTACATGGCTGACCATGTAGTAAAAAGCCATTGAAAATCAGAAGAATGTTATTCTGTAATTTGATGCACTCCTAATCAATACATAAAAATAAGAATGTGCACACTGTAGCCTATAAACAATGCTACTGCCCTAAATGAAAATAGTTGAAGCACGCTTACTTTGAGTTCCTCTTCCATTTCAGATATCCGCCTTTCTAGAGCTCTTCTTTCCTACAGAAAACCATTTGCATTAATAACACAATTTGGATATATATTTTAAGCATCATCTCTGTAGAGCAATCTCAGATTTTCAAGATTAAACAACCATAAGCACAGTGAGGACAAGAAACTTGCGAGGCCAGTGATGTGTAAAAAAATACTTCGAATTTAAAATCAAGACAACAGAACTAATTTCGGTCAAATTCTACCAGTTAAATACATTCTTTATATAAAATTGATCAGCCAATAGTTTTTGTAACATCAGTTGGGTATTACTCCTTTAACTGTATTTTGTGGTAGTTTAGCATACAAGAAATGCAGAAAAGAGACCAACTGCCTTAAGGAAAAGGAAGCACAAAGCATTACGTTCCACAGACAGGCAAATGTTAGTTTGCATTCTGTACTACACCCAAGTAATACTAATCGTGTGTGTGTGTCCTAGTGCATATTCTGTCATCATTCATTGGACAACAGGTCTTAAAGCTAAAATATTGCTTTGTGTTAAGACAATGCGGTGAGTCTCATTAAAAAGCAGCTGCTGTATCCAGTATCTGACATTCAAACATTTTCAAAGTGTGAAAGACAAAAGCAAATTGCTACAAAGTATACATTCAACAGTGTTATGCAAAACAAGCAGCATCAGCTGAGGTGTGTAAAACTTTGGTTAGATCATACCGCTGCGAGGATACTGACTCTTGTCGGTCACCTTTCAGATACAAACCATTTGAATTTAGTTTAATCATAGTTAAGTGAGTTCCTAAACATATTTTACCCAGTTTTAGCAATTAATTTCAAGAGCTTAGTACAGTCATAATTCATTTTTGTCAGCCTGTCATTCATTTAACTCTCTGTGATAATAACCAAGTTTCATTTTAAAAAAAACTTGTTTACTTAGCAGTGCTCAGTTAAGTAACAGTGAGTTAACCGATTTAAGCCATTTCCACCAATCGTATGTTTTTTAAAAGTTGCCAGACCAAATCCAGCGCGGAATTTTAAATTTAACTATTTGATTATTATTGCTCTTATATCAATACATAAAGTGCATCTCTTGTGCACACACAGACTGTCCAGAAATCTAATTGCCTAACTAAATTGTTGCAGTTTGTTCTTTTTCGCATACTGTTTCCCAATTCAAATTATTATTTTATAAGAATATTATATAAACCTAGAGGACCAAAAGCCCAGGAAAAAACTTACCCTTTTTTCCATTTCTAGCAGAGACCTATCAGCAAATCTTTCCTGCCTCTGAAATAGATAAGTGATCACATGCAATGTCACTCACAAGAAAAATAAAGGAGATAAATGGACGTGGGGAAAATGCAATTTAGAAAAGCACTGTTGAATTACCAGTGGTGGGTAGAATCCACACTAAATTAGACAGTGAAAACGACAGAACCAACTCATTTCTAAGGGAATTAATGTCCGCTGTGTCTGAATCCAACCCAATATTTATTCATTTTTTTCTGTAACGTGAACTTCAAAGAGTGTTTCCTGCTTGGCAGGGGGTTGGACTCGATGGGCCTTGTGGTCTATTCCAACTCTATGATTCTATGATTCTATGAGTGCCTGAAATTCATGGGCACTCTCAGATTCATAGGTTTGCTGAATATAATCTCAACAGGAAACCATAAATACTTTTTTGGGGGGAAATAGAAGATACAGAAAACTATGAGGTAGGCGCCAGAAACATAGTTAATGGTATTCAACATCACAAGCCATCCTTTAATAAATGGCTACTGATGATCTATACACAAATTTAATATAGATTTCTTGCAATGGAGATCAATGAAGGACAGATACAGGGCCAGAGTTACATTTACTAATAATTTCAAATAACACTATAACACAGAATATGGCCCATCTAGCTAATCAGATCAGGTCAGATCTCCAATGTCAGAGTGAACATGAACGAATACACTAAAGGGTCTTTATAAGGATATGTGCACATTCAAGCCTCTCTCTGCCTGTTTTAGTAGTCATTAATCAGGTGGCTGGAATAATCACTTAACATTTCCCATCCTGCTTCTAAACTTGTTCTCAGGAAGTTTCTGCCATCATATATCAATTTCAGTTAATAGAAGTTGCTGCTCAAGGACAAACACACTGCTCCTTTTGAAGGTATAAGCTTAAAATCAGTCTCTATCAGCAGCAACTTCCTTATACTCCATGAACTCACCACCTTACTTTTTACCCATATAAGTTAATGATTATTGTTCACTTCTATGGAGCAGTAATACTAGGGATAAAACTTGACACCTAACATTAGCTGTCCATTGAGAAGGGCCAGATGGTTTGCAGGGGGAAGACTTCCAACTCAACTCCACAATATCAAGGACACTGTCTTCCCATCATAATCACATAAATTTTGAAGTCGTTTATGCAGCAATTAAAGCAGAAATGTTCATGGGTTAAAGACCGCTCACCTCCTCCTCCATCAATATAAAGTAACAATTTACAACTTAGCCCTATGCAAGTTGTGTATGAAATACCATTCTGGACACTTAAACCTTTAAAATGTATAAAAATTTTGCACTTCACATTTCATTTTTCTAGTTTGCCACCTCACTGCATGTTATTGCCTGAACTCCACCTAAGAGACTCAGATTCCATATACTTCCAAGAGCGCTGGTAAAGCCCAATAGAAACCTTCTAATATGAGAAACGTTCATTATTGATTTATATTTCTAATAGAACTTTTGTGCCAGGTTTATAACAAACAGAATTAAAGCATGACGTTTAAAAGGAACTATGAAAAAAGTGTGTTTCCATCTCTTTGGAAAATGCAAAGCTGATCCTTGGTGACACACATTTTACTGAACCTACCCATGCTTTTTCTGTGGTGGCGCCTCATTTATGGAACTCCCTCCCTAGACATTGGACTATTGGCCAGCCTTCAAAATGGCTTTGGAGACCCATCTGTTTTGTTTCACTTTTAACAATGATGATTTTATTAAGGAGGCTGCTAGATTTCAGAGTATAGAGTTAAGACTGCTTGTTACTAGATTTCCTGATAAAATATTTTTTCAGGCCAGCAAAAATTTGAAGGGTTCTCTAATTTGAACTTACTGCTCTGCCTGTTATTTTGGCATTTTATTGTTTGTAATCTGTTTTAAACTGTATTAGAGAAATTTGTGATTTTATTTGTTATATGTTTGTAAGCTGCCTAGAGAGGATATCATATAAGGCAGCCTGAAGATCCTTTGAAGAAATAAAATTAAAATGAGAGTTTAGAAATACAAACCTGAGTTGCCTTTTCCAACTGTAGTTTGAGATCCGTCAGTTCCATGTTGGTATCATGCAATTGTGCTTTCAATTTTTCATTTTCAGCTACAATCTGTTCATAAAGCTAAGAAATATGCGATACTTTTATAAATCATGCACTCCTTCAAACTTCTATCATAACTGCATTTATAAATTGATAATTGTACAGACATAAAATTTAACTCCTAGGATTAGAAGGGCAGTAGGCAAGGAGCAACTGTTTAGATTTCTGGGTTCTGTGTATGGCTGGGCAATATATGGTTTTCAACATTGTGATATATCACCAGCTAAACACTGAGATATTCCAATATATCACAATGTCTGAAATAAGGATTTAGCCTAACTTCTATCCTCTATGCTCTGGAAATCTCTAGGTTCGATTACTGCAATGTTTTATACGCAATGCTGCTTCTGAAGATAGTTCAAGAACTTCAGCAGCCAGGTTGCTCACCAGCGCAAGACAGCTTGAGTATATTACACTGATCGTGCACTGATTGCCAATTAGTTTTCAGAGCCAATTCAAAGTGCTGGTTTTGACTTATAAAGCCTTGAGTGGTTCAGGACCACAATATCTCAAAGACCACCTCTCCCCATTGGAACCAAGCTGGACCTTGAAATGATCAACTTTCTCCATACACCACAGTCACCTCTCTCCATTCAGGCAAGCAAGAGACATTATACTGGTTCAAGGACAAATTCCAGTTAGGCAAAAGCACTAGAGAAGGGTGAAGGGCTGGTGAGGGGAGCATCCTAGGAAAGGGGAGAGTCCAATGGGTGACATAGGGTGGCCTTGTGGCTCACATACAGCCCTGGGCCTGAGGTTCCCCATCCCTGTTCTAAATGAGAAAGGAGGTGGGGTAAAGTGGCCATGCATTTGAAGTTGCTTTACAAATAGCACCTTAACAATGGCCTCAATCAAAATTTACCTCAAAACCAATACCATACAGCTTGAAATTGCATATCATAGTCCCCAGAGTGTATGTGTGCATATGATGTCAAACTGAATTAAGAGAACCATACAGAATGACTTCACAAACTTGTAATAAAGTCATCTTGTTAACACACAACTCATGGGGTCAGATACCTTTTTAAAATCTGTTGTATCTTCTTTTTCTAGCTTGCTGGAATATAATTTGCGATCTTCCAAGTAACTGTATCCAGTCCGTCCTAGTACTGAATCGTAACGATCTCCTGATGACCCTGTGTCATATCTTCCAAAATAGAATAGAAGTTCAGTCTCTCACAGCTCTATTCAGAATTACAACAAACTATGGTCTGAGCTAGCTCTGATTTAGAAACTAAGTCACAGTGGCTTCATTTGCACATCAGAACTGTCTGCAGTTAATTGTTTAGCATGATCACGCAGGTGGCTCCTCCCCTAGCGCGAGAGACAAATCACAATCCCTGGTGTACTGTAATGTCTGAGATTGGGATCATGATTTGTTTCACTCCAAACAAATCAGAATGTGAAGCCAATATTTGTTCTTAGCTTACCAAGGTGGGGATTGGGGCAACGAAACAAGCCTGATCCCTCATTCAGATATAATGCTACATCAAAGATCATGGTTTGCTGTTCCTGCTGGCACTATGGAAGGAGCAAAGCCGCAGTGATTTCCATGTTCATGGGAAACTAATAATGATGGTTTACTGTGACATGCAAAACTGGGCCCTACATGCAAAACACAATTTATGCTATTCTTGCTTAGTTGTCTCCTCAAAGGGTTCCAAGATTCAATTTATAAACCACTTCACCTTGTTGTACCTCCAGCAACACAACCACAGATATGCTGCCTTGTTGCCATCAATCAGTAACGCTAAAAAGGGCAGCACAACTGAGAACATTCTTCTTTTTATTGGCCTCAGAGGGTGGAATGCCAACTATGACTTGTCAATTGGGACATTTCATTAACCTCATGGTTTCAACATTCTCAAACTATGATTTGTCAAATTTGAACATTGTGACGAACAATAGTTAAGCTCTGAAAATGATGATTTGACATGACATCTGAATTAAGTCACTGACATATTAATATTATAACTCAACTAAAGATACAGTGTGAATTCAAATAATGTATATGCAATCTTCCACTTCTCTCCATTTTATACAAAAGCAAACGTGAACTAGGGTATGATATTATCAGGGAACATCCTCCATTTGGGGACTTCCCAAAAGCTGAATTTTACAGATAAATGGTTAAAATCCCCTAGATTTAGGTGTGGCAAAGCATACAACCTTCATCATGTTTGTAACCAATGAATCATATTGCTTGGCTCTACTGGAACATTTTATAATCCTCAAGATGTCATGGTGCTGCCATGCTGATGGTCAACATGCTAGCATAATAGCAACTCTGTGGACATGTTGAAACTGGATGTAATCTTCTACAGTTTTGGTATTTATGGAGGACTGAGCTGTGGGCAGCTTCTTGCATCACATCATTTGCAAAGTGCCTTTTTCCATAAAAGCATGCTTAACCTCTCATTTCATTAGCAACATTAAACAATTACGAACGTTACACTTCACATCATAAGGAGAGCTAAACGTGAAGAGTACACGTACCTTGAAATGCTTTCACCCTGAAGGAGGAAGAGGAAACAAATATTTTAAAAGACTACACACCTATGTTTAACAAGCAAATTATTCACAGCTTACTAGACAATTAATGAGAATTTAAAGTAAGCTCAGCAATTAAAATAAAATGGACCATAAAATATACTGTATGGCAGAGGTGTGGAACCACCAGCCTACAGGTCCATTCAGGTCTGCTAGGGGTTCTAATTTGCCCCGGGAGGCCATTTCCCCCAAACCACACTCAGCTGCCCCATCCCTGATGTCATAACTGTTGTTAGCCGCCCTGAGCCCGGCTCGGCTGGGGAGGGCGGGATATAAATAAAATTTTTTATTATTATTATTATATGTGGCATCAGGTATATGGCAGGTAAAGGCATGTCTGCTGTTATTTTGAAGTCCATTTCCAAGCCGTGTGTATTGAAACTTATCTGCAAGACAGTCTTCAGAGGAAAGTTCTTTTCAAGTTGTCACCCAATGTCATAACAACATCAGGTGATTGACAGGTGGGCAGTACCACCCACGTGTCAGAATTGACACTTGGGATTGAGGGGAAGGAAGGATCTGGCCCACTGGCGGTATGCATTTATCTACTCCTGCTGCATGGAATCATAGGCTAGAATCCAAATAGCTAACTTAAATACACCAAGGGACTGGGCGTGCCCAAAGGCATTTTGGACTTCTTTCTTTGAATAACAGACCTTCTAAGCTGAAGAGCATTTCAAAGACTTCTATGATTTCAAAAGTAATTTGCAATGCAGCTTAGGGAACTGCTGTTTGAGTGATACAAGCCGAAAGTCTCCATAGCCACATGAAAGTAACTGCATATTTGGATCCTAGCAACAATTTGCAGAATCTTCACAAGAACACCAATATTAGAAATATAGACCCCTTGTTATGACAAAGTTCTAAAGAGTTAATGATTCTGCCTTCCTGTTCTTTTAGTATTCTATGTATTCCAACTGCTCTCTCATTTTTCAGTGTGGACAGTCCACTATGTAGTGATTTTAAATAAACTTTACACCATTCTTTTGTTTGAATGTATTTTGTAGGGTCCACTTAGAGCTTATTCAAGTGACACGTTCACATGAAACAGATAATGTTGGCATTATCACAGCAAAATGTATGCAATCACAGTTAATGCACTATTACTGAATTTAAACAGGATGCAATACCTGTGGGAGTGTAGCTTTTGTAAAATATGGCACTCAAATGAGAATCAAAATGAAAGAGAACAGGGGAAAAGATAGATGGAACAGCACTGCAATATGGAAACAACTTTGTGCGCTATGAAAGATAATCAACAGGTTACGCTTCTATGAAGGCCAAATAAAATTATCACATGATCTCTGAACTTAATGTTTTAACCCAAGATACAATTTTCTTCACAGAACCTTGAATAAAATCGTAGCATAAGATTATGTCTTTTATGCAAGGAAAACAAAACAGAACAATTACCTGTGTTTCTTTTTTATTTGTTCCCTCTTCTGAATCAGATGGGTGTTCTTGTTCATTTTCATCACTCTGAGGGAGGAAACCCATTTAAAATTAGCATATATTTACATTCTGCCTCGGGACAGAACAACTTAGAAGGAGGGCTTCCTCCAAACAACACTTTCAGCCTTCAAACTGCTTCAAACAAGCAGATATAGTTTGTCAGTAACAAAATTCTATCCTAGTTGCTCACCACCATTCACACATTTATACTGGAATATAATCTATGTTTGTACTCTTCTAAAACAAAATTTCAACTATTTTTGTCCAATTCTTCAATTCTGGGACAACTTACTGTAATCAACTTAATTTTTTAAATAAAACAATAGACACTCTTTCCCTATAAATAGCAGATACACAGAATCTGTATTTTCAGATCATCTCACTGTTTCTGATTTAAAGTCACACACATAATCATCCAAGCCCTAATTAACAAAAATTCCTGCTTATCCAATGTATTATGAATTATGTATGTGTTACAATTAATGTCACACATTTTCCATATTACAGGGGGGTATAGTCAATGCTTGCATTGAGTACACCCACTGAAATTTATAGCGATGACTACCTTGGGTTCATTACTTTCAATGTGTCTATCCTAAGTAGAACTTAGTTGGGTACTGATTTTACTTTAAGGTAATGACTAGTAACTGAATTCATTAACTGTCCAAAAAAGCTGTGGTATCAGTGATGAAGAAGTCTGTTGTCTCACTAATAAAAAAAATGTATATATTGTGGATGGGTTGGTGATTCATGAAACAGTTTGAATGTCTAGATCTGACAACTGGGTATAACCACCACACTTCTAAAATGAGATTGATAGCTGTGTTAAGCGTCAGACCAATAGCTTTAAAATACATGAATCTCACCTATGTCTGAAACATAAATCTGCAATATGAAAACAAAAACCCAATTTCCACAGCTTGTTTTATCAACTGTGTTGCCTCAGTTCATTGAATTCTCCCTGAACTGTTTCTAAATACAGATCTATATGCAATTTAAATGGGTTTTTACTTACATCCTGAGTCCAAAAAGAAACTCCTGTAGATCTTCGTTTTTCTCTTGGCCGTCGCCTTTCCCTTATTGATTTTGTCTGTGATTTATCTTCTTCTTTTTCTTCTTCTTTCTTCCCTGTTTCTATTTAAATAGCAATGCATTGAGATTTTAATGAAGTCCAGTAAATATACTAATTTGCAACACATTACATTTCTGTTGTCATTCCTGAAGCAAGACATTCAGGATTCAAGTTTATGAAAATCCTAAAATGCTTTTGAGAATATGGTAAATGTAGATCACTTTTAACATGCCATTATTCTCTTTATACATTGTTCCATCATTTCTAACTATAATATTTCATTGTAGTATTATATGGATTTAACCTTAAGAATCAAAGCCTAACACATATGCATACATTATGACATCTACAAACACATATTCATCAAAGCAACCAGAGCACACTTATTCAGGTAAGTATTTGTTTAGCCAGAAGCATCAAGAATTCAGCGTGCAACAGACTCTTTCAGAGAGATTTGTGTTCAAATTAGCTAGATTTGCTTTTCTGGTAATGCATTTAATGAAATCCAGCAATTTTCAGACCATGGTAAGGTGCCACTTCTGTAAACTAAGATTTAAAGTAACATGTCAGAAAGATCAAAGTTTAACCTTTCAAACTGATTGTTCAGCTCCAAAATGCTTTTATTAACTTATACAAGAATTATTAAGCAGGGCTGCACAAGCATATAACATTCCTTTGCTATCATGCACTTTATCCATGTGTTTACCCTTGAATTAACATAAGAAATCACAAACATCCAGGTACTTGTTAATTCACTGCTCCAGTCTTCAGGGCTGAAAAATGAATCTATATTAAGGCAACACAATACTCAGCCTCACTCTAAACTTTTTCTTTTTTTAAAAAAGTTATTCCTATAACAATTCAAAATTAAAATTTAGAGCCCATGGAATTATGGGAACTGATGAGCAAGTTTAGATTTGATCTACAGAAAGCAATTTAAAAGTATAATTACTGAGGAATTGCTGAAATACTGATTTTAGGTGGCGATTCTGCAGGAGGATTCCCAACTGTTTTACCAATTACTTATCTAAGGTATACCAAACTTTCTTGAAGGGGGCAGTGGTTCATTTGATAACACCAACACAGAAAAAGAAAAAAAATAAGAGAAGCCTTACCTCTCTCATTTTCCTTTGCTCCACTTCTGGAGTAAGCAGAAGTTATACCTATAAGGCTGTTTGGTCTGTTTAGTTGGCTTGAAGAACTAGATGTGGCAACTGAAGAAGTTGATGAAGTAGTTGAAGGTGTAGTTCTATAACGATGATATGGCTAGTCAACAGGGAGAAGTCCATATCAGTTTTGAAATATTGGGAAGCATAGAAATGCAGATTAAATCATTTTCATCAAGTAAGCTACCTCCTACAATTTCAGAATGGCCGCCTACCCTGGTCCGCATGAGTGGCAGTTGCAGCCCCTTGCAAGCTGCCCTTCATTCCCAGGGCAGTTAGGAGTCACATCCCCAACAGCCAGCCATTGTAATTTCCCTGACCAGCTGCATTGAAGCGTGTGATAGCTCACCAAGACTAAAGTTTAAATTGCCCAATTATGGGCAGCCAATGGGGCAGAGCCTGGTCGGTGGACCTGAGTGCAGAAGTTCCCACTCTAATGCATTAACTGGGGATAAAATCCAACTGTGCCTAGCATTCGAAGCACAGTTGGCCGATTCATGCCTGTGCAATAAGAGAAACATGAAATACCTCCTCTATGGTCCGTGTGTATCTTTGTCTATAATCATCATCTTTAGATTCAGATTCTTTCTTTTCTTCCTGTTTTTCTTTGTCCTGTTTTTCTTTTTCCTCCTTTTCTTTTTCTTCATTTTCTTGCTCTCTGGTTCGTGTACCACGACTTCTGCCAATAGTTTTTTCGGCTTCTTGAAGATCAGTCAGCGTTACCCCCTTTAGAAGAATTGCACCCCAAAAAAGGATAACATGTCAAGTCTCCAGTATCTAATTTGACTTCTGCTGACATTCCAACAATAACATATTAAAGGTAAATGGTATTTTGTAAAAGAAACAAAACAAAAAAACAAAACAAAACCTGAGGCTACACCCCATTTCCTAATCTCATAGTTCATTCTTTCTTGTTTGTTTCGTCCTTATTTTTCATAGCATCTAAAAGCTTTTCCCTTGTATTTTTAATGCTGTTTCAAAACAACTGGAAGGGATGGTATTTTATGTGATAAAAATAAATGGATGCTTTAAAAAAACTTTTCCCCTGATTGCATGCTTTGGGGAAAATATATTTTCCTAGCCCAGAACTAATTGTGTGCATGTGGATATGTAGATTAAAGTCAGAATGCAAATACTTAACTTGCTTTTCTGAAGAGGAGATGTATCTCTCTGTTGCACTAAAAAATAAATAAATGATAATACTTTCCTCTGGGAAAGTTGTGTGAGGGTCCTGGAACACGCCTAGAGCCCAGTAGGGCAGAGGGAAAGGCCTGTTCCAGAAGGGCATGCAGGGATGGGGAGTTCTGGGGGTTTCTGGCTTCACATGTTTTGGGTTTACACATGAAACCCTGGACCCAAACCCTCACATAAAGCTGCGAGTTGCCTGTATATTATTACATACTTCCATTTTCATATTTTCATTCTCTCTCTTCCTCTATGAACAGAAACCAATTCATAGGTATTGTACCATCAGTGTATCCCCTAAATATAACATATATGATCACTGTACCTGAGTGGATCTTCTGGACTGCCTTGCTTGCCTTGATCTAGCTTTTCTTTGGGATTCAGATTCTTCATCCCGAACTGGAGTGAGGTATGACCTGGAGTTAAAAGATTTGCTAGCTAGTAATCAATGTATAATGTAATTGCATTTTTTGAAAATAATTTGATAGAAAAAGGAGCAACCAAAGCCTCTCGGCTAAGTCACAAATAAATTAGGAAACTGAAGGTTTCAAACAATAACAAGGTTCTTTTGCGGCAAAAAGATCACTGCTTGCGTTTTGGTGTAATTCTGCACTGCGCACATACAAGCTCTTCATATTCTGATAATACAATTACATTACAATATCAAGTCAGCACTTTAACCTAAGGATCAGCAACAGAAATACCCAGGATCAAACTGAGCCTTCTGAGAGGTATTACCAGCCACTTTCTAATACAGATGCAACAGTGCTTTTAATGAGCTCATGGTAACTGGCTATGGGATGTAGGTGTGGGAGGGCCCTGAATGGGAATCTTTATTATTCCCTCCAAATGGTACTCCAAGTAAACTAGTTGCTGGTGAACTATACTAGCAAATGTTTTTATTTACAACCAACTTGAAGTGTTGCTGCTTTGCAAAACTGGTTTTAAAAACATCATTTCATACTATTAGATCTCTCAACACTCAATCAAGCAAGGATTCTACAGCAATGGGCTAGTTTAGATGCAATGGGATACCATGATTCCCAATTACAAGAAGGTGTTGCAACAAGCTTGCTCCTCATCTCTCCTTTAACCGTAAGAAACAACTGGACACTTCCTTCGGGTTTTTGAATAAACCATAGCTATGTTCAAACTCAGGAAACTGGTTCATTCTACATGTACTTACTTAACAAACCAGAACCCAATTGTGATTGTAGGTCAGGACTTGTTGAATCCAACCTGCTGGAACAGACTACCCTTTCCTGACTTTAAATTTAATGGGGGAAAGCCTGTCAGGGCACTAAGCTAAATAGTAAAAAGAGACCTCATTATTTATAAAGTAAACATTTCTCGAATTACCCCAAATACCACCTTCAAATTAATGTCTAACATAAGGAGAACACATCTTGATAGACATTAACAAAGTATTCAGCTCATCCAGAAAGCTTATGGTATGCACATTTCTGAACTTTTTGCTGTGCCACTTCCTTTCATTTATTTTCTGCCCTGCTTTAGATGAGATATCTTAAAGATACCAGACACCCAAGTGTCATAAGTGTAAGTATACTGCACTAACATACATACATAAATGCATTAAGCCTTACAGTTCGCTATTATGTTTATGCCTCATAACCTATGCCTCAGCTATGACCGTTTAAAGTATGACCATTTAAAGAAAGCGGGGAAATAGGAAGAGCAAACAAACACTCCTCAAGATATTCTTAGCAGTAGGCAATTCTGTCATCCTAGGTTATTCTAATCAGCCAACAAACTCACATAATCAAACACTGAACTCTGAATGAATAAATTGCAACTACTTTGGGACCATGTAATTCATGGGGAAAAGAAAGTGCAGCCTCCTTGAATTCTGTGGTTTTACATATCAGGACGTAATAGAAACCATTTGTTCTTTACCAGGCCTTAAAATTGGGTAAATACAACTTCGTATGAACAACAATTCATGACCTATTACAACATGTCATGATTTATTTAACAGAAATAAAGTCAAGATGGAGAAATCATGTGTGGAAAAACGAAGTACACCCTTACTGCTGTCATAGCAATGAAGAGGCTAAGTAGCAGACAGGGGCTGCTAATCAAATGCCCTTGCTTATTTGAACATCAGCAAGTGTGCCCACCTCTATAAAAGCTGGGGTTTGGGCAGTCTGTTGGTCTGGAGCATTCAGGTGTATTTGAACACAGTGCCAAGGAGGAAATATGACACCATGCTCTTAGAGAAGCAAGTGCTGCTGCCCATGAAACTGTGAAGGGTTCCAAGGCCATCTCCAACCAATGTTAAGTCCCTCATTCTACAGTGAGAAAGATTTTCAAAAGTGGAAAACATGCAATACAGTTTCCAATCATTTCAGGAGTGGACGTCCCAGCAAATTCAACCAAAGGTCAGATAGCGCAATGCTCAGAGAAATTGCAAAAACCCCAAGAGTTACATCTCAGACTCTACAGGCCTCAGTTAGCATGTTAAATGTTAAAAGTTCATGACAACACAATTAGAAAAAGACAGAACAAGCATGGTTTGTTTGGAAGGGTTTCCAGGAGAAAGCCTCGTCTCTCTAAAAAGAACATGGCAACATGGCTTTGGTTTGCAAAGTTGCACCTGAACAAACCACTAGACATCTGGAACAATGTCTTTTGGACAGATGAGACCAAAGTGGAGATGTTTGGCCACAATGCACAGCGCCATGTTTAGCCATGTGTGGAAAACTAAGTACACCTTACAATTCAATAGCTTGTAGAACCACCATGGTTAGTTTTTCACACATGGCTTTTCCATTTTGGCTTTATTTCTGTTAAATAAATAATGACATGGCACAATATCACGTGTTGTTGTTCATTTGAGGTTGTACTTACCTAATCTCAAGACCTGCTAAGGAACAGATGATTGTTATTACATCTTCATATGTAAAACCACAGAATTCAAAGAGGAGGTAGGCACCTTTTGGACAACACATTTTAAAAATCAAGGTAATTTAGACCACCAACAGAAATCTAAATGTGTTATTTCATCCTGTGCAACACACATGCAAAACCTTGACACACTGGTGAGAGTGAAGAAACAAACTGAATGCCTGAATTTTGAACTTCCTTGCTTTTTCAGCTCCTCTCAGTCTTTTTAACTATAGTATTTTTAAAATAAAAAAACACTTATTATAATAAAATTTAGTCATTACACACACCTTGCTTTTAATCCTAGATACATTATTGAACACTTTTAATGAATAAAGTTGCCTGGTTCACCAACTTTATTCCTATTATTTCCAGACACAATCCTTCTTCAAAGCATACAATGTGCATTGTGGCAATACTTGATTTGTCTTCCACGTTAAATTGATCTTTAAAAGGAACTAAGAATGCAGTCTCAGAGCATTCATGTTTGTGTGCATTTATGCCAGAACAAACTAAGAACATTGCCACACCTTAAAAACATAATAGGTTAAAGGGCATGGGCTTTCAGAATAACAACCTACATCTTCAGATGAATGAAACAGAAACAGGAAGATAAGCTGGTTTGTGTATATATACTTTGAAAATGCCTAGGTTTATTCTAAATCCTGGTGTCTCTTCTTCTCCACACCAAAATACACATCCTCTTCTCTCCCTCCCTAGAATATTTTGTGAGGTCAGTGGACAGGCAGGTTTGTTTGTTTGGCAAGATCAAATGGTCCCTAATATGACACTTTGGGCTGCTTTGACCATTCTTCAAAATAGAATACTTGGCTCTCTGTATCGAAGGCCACTTCCTAAAGAGATATTGTGTGCCACTTTCTATATCTGCAGTACCTGATACATCTACTGGCATGTCTTTACAAGCATTACAGCAGTCTTTTTGCCTATTTTATTTTTTAAAAAAGTTTTTTCTTATTTCTGAGAGGGGAAATGCACAGCAAGTTCAAACCATAGCATTTTCCTTAACACACAAAGTCACTTGGGAAGAAAGATGACAAAAGGGATTTGGGGCCCAAACGACACATTTCCACAGGAAAAAACCAGAAAACATAAAAACAGCAATGTAGAAGAAAAGGTGCTCTCAGACACTGACATGGACAACTTGTTGCATTTACGTTTATCACGGTTTAAATACATATGGTGTTTCCATATTGACCAGAATCTTATATGTTTGGGAACAGTTCTTCCCATCTAAACAGCTGATAAATTATTCTCACAATTCATGAAACTGAAAAACTTTTCTCAATTCTCTACAGATAAAGAACTGCTGTAAATGTGGAGACACTGAACATGCATACCACTCTCTACCTTAGTTCTTTTTTTTTTTTTAAGTGGCATAGAACCATGGGAACTAGGTGAACAGGGAAGATGAAAAATGACTTCCCATTTTTAAAATTGTATTCCCTGTTTTATTGTATTTTTGATTTTTTGTTGGAAGCCACCCAGAGTAGCTGGGGAAACCCAGCCAGATGGGTGGGGTATAAATAATAATTTTTTGATGATGATGATGGTGATGATGATGATGATGATGGAAGCTGAGGATTGTCTACGTGTTTCCCATCACATATATTACATGTGGGCAAAATATCGACGTATCTACAATTGTATTAATGCATCTTTTGTGAGTAGGCATTTGTTCACCTCACACTAATGAATCACAGCACAAGTGAAGTATCATTCTCAGAACTTTTACACACCTGCGTCTCTCCCTGACCTCTGAAGTTGAGGACACAGTGCCAGAAGTAGTTGTAGTCAAGGCTGTGGTAGTCGCAGTATTTACAACTGATGGTGCAACAGGAACGGTCACTGCTGTAGGAACATTGTCTTTGTCTCTCTCAGTACTATCCTCAGCCCATAAACGATTTGAGGTACTATAGCATCATAGCAACAACACAAAAAGAGAAAAGGAAACAGCTAAACAATGAAAGCACTTTGCTAAAACAGTGTGATACAAAGGGATGGATTTTTTCTTTTTTAAAATACAAATTTGAGACTGGTTTTGCTACAGAAGTATCTACATAGCTCCTGGGGAGCTTTACTAAAAGTAAAGCTTTGACTGTATTTTCACCCCATTCCAATATATTATTTTTTACCTGTTTACAGACATGCATAGCTATTGCTTTATAATGCAAGCTTCATTTTGAGCCAGATTACATACTGACCACAGGTAACAGCAAAAATGAAAAAAATCCAGAGCCCAGTACCTTCTACACAAAAATGCATGCACATACATAAAGCACACAGTGGACATAACACAAACGACATTGATGGTCCCACCTGCTTTGTATGCCTGCTGTTGCTGAACCCGTTGTAACCTTTGTAGCAGTGCTTGTGCTGGAAAGCAGGCTTTTCTGAAGACCAGCGGGGGAGGTAACTGTTGATACTGACGTAATACTTGGAATACTAGAACTAATCAAGTCATCTTGTCTTCTACCAAAGGAACCACTGAAAAGTCATTTGAATTTACAAAAATAAGCACTGTGTATTTATTAAGTTATAAATCACCATCCATTCTTCTACCAGTTTGACGGGCCCTCGATTTCCATGTACTGAATAGCTCCAGATATTTGTAAAAAAAAGGTAAGCATAATTACAATAACTCTAATTTCCCTCTCATTTCCATATAAAGACTACAAAGATTGTATACCCAATTTTAACATCATACCAATATATCTGCTTGCAGTCTTATGGCACACTTAATAGCACTGTGTTGTTGCTATTACAGCCCAGCACTTACATACAGAAAATCTAAAGTATCATGATACTGATTAAAAGTATCATCAACTAAAATATATGAGCCAAACTGAGTCTTAGACATCACTTACACACACCGAGCATGACCATCACTGAAGGGCAAGGATGCTGCCACAGTTGCTTCATGAACAGTTTGGCATTAAGAGGCAACAAGGAAGCTGTTCTAAGAACTGAAAGTGCAGCTTTTCTGGAAGCAAATAACTGAGGAAGCTGTGACTAGCAGTCCTCATCCATTTGGGATTGGAAAGCACCAGAACCATATTTCCTCGAACACTGATTTCCTCTTTCAGCTGATGGCTTTGTAGTGTTTATCCAATTAATGTATAATAATAAAACAGCTCTCGCCATTTTCAGGTAAATAGCTAATGTATAAAACCTTCTTTTAAGAACACAAATATTGCTGTCCTTTATATTACTATTTGAAAATGCAAACAGTATAAAATTAATTATGTACCACCATGTAGTTCTATAAAAATACCTGGAATTCTTTATACTTTTAACATCTACAAAACATACACTATTTACCTTCTTTGATAGGTTGTGTTTAGTGGTGAAGATCCTTCATTTGAGATATTTTTCTTTGCATCTTCTTCCCATTTTCTTCTTGTGTAAGAACCACTACCACGTATTAAACTGGCTGACGTATCCCTGTTTTCTTTCTCTTCAATGTCAGATGTACTGGCCAGCCGTCTTGGAATTGTAGGAGCAACATATGCAAGCCTAGTTCCTTTTGTATCTTTATCCTGCAAGAGAAATATTTTTTACAAAGTTTACAAGTTTGACTTACGATTACGATTTTTGAAAGGTCAACTGCATGTGTAGCCAACATGACCCCAATTTTAATTACACACACACACTCCCATCAATTTATGGGCCATATAGTGAAAAAGTGTTAAAACAGGCACACTGTTTCTAGTTCATGCGTAAAAATAAGCATCTAGCAATAAATCTTCTAAAGGGAGGCTGCCACTTACGCTTTACATATTTTACTGTAAACAATGTCAAATAGAAACTTTGGCATTTGAGAAAACAAATAATTAGTTGTCAAACCTGAACTAAATTACACAGAGCCTAACACACATGACAAATAATTGTACAGAATTATGCTTCCTACACAAGTGTGGAAAGTCTGGCCTTCCCATCACTGAACTACACTGAAAGTGATCTACTACAAACAAAGAAAGAAAGTAGTTAAACCTTGTACACAGAGTAACCACACATTAGGAAGCATCTCCTATTTGAAGGATGGAAAAAATGCCACACCATTCTTGAAAGCACATCCTTCCCCCCCGGAAACTTTGCCCAAGGAACTAGATGAAAAATGCAGAAAGACATACAAAGATCACTGAACCCCTGTCTTTGATGAACGGAAATCTTTCATGGTACACCACATACCAACTACTAGTGCCTCTTAAGACTTCACCAGGAACTAGGCATATAAGTTCATGATTTGTCTTCACAGCTTTTAGGAGTAGAAACTTTATTCCATGATATGCGGAAGTCAGAATTTGGTAAGGAATTCATCATCTTCAGACACTGGTCTTTCTTTTTTAAAAAATAAAAAAACCATCACCATCCATAATTTAATTACGTCGTGTGTTCTGGAAAAAATGTTACCTTGTCTTTGTTGTCTAATGAAGAGGACAATCTAGGGCTTGAAGCTGATCGCATAACTCCTGTCGAATCCTTTTCTTTCTGTGTTTCTTTGCTAGCTGTAATCTCTGCCAGTGCCCCATAACTGCCAGTCTTTCGAAGACCTAGTCTCCATGAAGCAGGAGACTCATCTTTTCTCTCTTCTTCTTTGGGAGAAACCTTAGTTGAAGTTGGGAACTGTAAAACACAGGGTTGCTTTTCTGTAAGTCTTGTTCTTCCAAGTGTCCTCTGTGCAGTCAAACATTTGGAAGTGTACATACACAGGCCACAAAATGAGTAATTCCACAACTTTGACAGGAATGGAGTATGTCTGTGCCCTTCTCGTTGACATATTTGCCCTTGTGAGCATGAACCATGGGGCTAATGTATTTCTTCGCAGTTCACATGAGATCACCACTGGTAGCAAACCACAAGTAATTTTTAAGACAAGTTGAGTTTCTATGCTAGAGAAGGAGGGTAGGATGTGCAACTGCACAGAGCACACTTGGAGAACAGGGATTACAGACAAGCAACCCTGTTATCTCCTTCGTGATCTTTGTGAAGTCCCACATTTGACAAGCAAGTAAGCAACATTGTCTAGTACAGATTCATCCACCATGGACTCTAGACTCAGGGAAAGCAGTAATGGGCCTTGGCATTGCTTCACTCCCTTCTTATTGAATTCCAACACTGCCCCAGATGCAAAGTCACTTTTGGTGTGTTTAGGTATTGGGGAAGAATGCTAGCCATTCATCTGAACAGCTCTCTTTTTACTTAGCTTTGTACTCTAACACAATGGTTGTCCATTGTGAAACATGGTTTAGAGCAACATGAACTTTGATTTCGCACAGCTGCTACAGAAATCCACCCTGAACCCTGCTGCTTACCACTGTGTTCTGTTCAGCAGTCACTAATATTCCTTGCAGAAATGTGCTCTGACCCAAAACCTAAGTTCCAGTAAGCCTCCTTCATGAATCCTTCATTAAATCTGCTAATGCCCAGGTTGTGGCCTTCCTCAAAATAGAGGCAAGGGAAGGAATTATCTTTACTACAAGGTATACACTTCTTAAAACCTGCCCTATCACCAAAAGTCATTTAATTTAAACTGTTAAATAAGATGGCAGGGGAAGGGGGGGGTACTGGGAGAAAGATACAGAACCTGCCATGTCATCCAAGGTAACACAATGCAAAGCTTGCTAGCTGCAATATTTTGTGGAAGTTAAAGACATTCACCCAACCTCGGATCATATAGATGAGGGCAAACATGGCTGCCAAGGTAATAGGTACAAGCAAATGACTTCTGTCAAAGCCTAAGAATTTCTACATGGTGGCCTATGTTTGCTCACAGCAGAAAGTGGGACTATACAGAGGTCACAGAAGAAAGACACATTCTCAACCTCAGTATTTTTAATTCCAGAATTCCATGCTTCATGGTATATTTCAAAATGAAATTCCCTATAGATGTATATTGTATGTATGTGGAAAAGGAAGCAAGACCTCACACAATTTCCTGGGCAAGTTAATAAATTCCAAACACTTGGTAAATCAACTTTTCAAAGGTTAGCTTTGTAAACATTACACTATAAACTACAAATTAACAATGAGATGCAAAAGAGACACACCATTTAAAATCATGCAGCTACAGTGCCAATATTTGAATTAACACTTGTTATTTTGCAACCTGGAGGGGGAAATCACACACAGAGCCCTCACCAGAGACTTTTCACCTTTACTGGGAACAAGAATAATGCCAGTTTTACGTAAGCCCTGCCTCCATGATGCAGGATCTACAGAGTCCACCACAGGCATGATAGCAGGAAGAAAGTCATACTAAAGCCAATTGGGACAAGACATATAAAAGAGATATAAAGATTGAACAAAAAAATATGTTGGCCTTTAATTTAAAAGTCTACATGTTTTAATCCCTATTTACTTTTTACAGAACTGCAGTAAAAGCAGTCAGCTTTTTTCAGCACATATTCACAGAATTATAGCCATATATGAGCAGAGATGTGCAAAAGTCAGAGGAGGTCCTATCTTTGACCTTTGAACAGGGAAGCAGGAAGTTCAAGAGGAATACAGCTCTAGCCCTATGTATTTTTTCTCTTGTGAAAGAAAGCAGCATGGAGATTGGAAAGGAAGAGAGGGGTAAAAGCATATGCACTGGAATGGAGAAGCAGAAGAAAAATGAAGAAAGGAAATAGACTGAAAGATAGGCAGTATGTTTCTTTTGCACCCATACTTTAGGCACCAGAACTCTTATCTATGCTTGTAATTTTAAAAGCATGAAAATTAGTACTTGTGTTTAAACGGGCGGACACACCTCTGTTCCATGACTACTTTCCTTGTTACTCCTTTACATGATTACTTTAAGACAGGGTGAGAGCATAATCAGCTGTGCAGTACATAAGTAACCTCACAACTGTTTATACATTTTCTTACAGGCTTTCTTTCTCAAAAATCTCAGCCAGACACAGATTAGGGTACCAAGGAAAAGGACTTTCCGGTGGCAGGCTAGACA